GGTCAAATTTGGATTTCCAAGGACAATGTCAATTCGGTTCCTTACGAAGGTGTGTTATTTTCCTCAAAACAATGTATAATAAAACAGTTATTAGATTCGGGTTTTGTGATATTCTGAATAATCAAGGTCTCGGTAAATGTTGTAAGCCTCTGCCTTCGGCTCGACTGATAACACTAACCTTGATTACCACGGATACCACAAAAACCTCATCCACTAATTGTTTATTATTCATTGCAATGCAAATTTTTGATTTTTATTGCGTCTAAATTAACTAGCGTGCGCGTCTCTTGATAACGGTCAAGGAGACGGCCCATATCTGAATTAGTAATTCAACCGTTCCTAATCTAGAAAAAGAAATAAAGCGTAAAGTACACAGATAAGTTAAACTCCATGCCCCTGCTGGATGAGCCGCAAGGTGGGAGTATTTTCAAAGTTCTAGCTATGGTTAATTGTAGATTTTTATAAATATCGACTTTTATCAAAAAAGCTCTTCTCTGACACAGAGATCAACTTACAAGCGTTGAGCATCCCAGCCAATCCTACGAAATGCTTACATTATAAAGTTCAACGCAAACATAACATTGAATTGAATTAAAAATAGGAAAAGAAGGAAAGTAGAGGACACTTCAACAATCACGAAAATCATAACGGATAGGGCTTCTGTTCACAAATAAGAATGGTTGTGGCGGCACGATTTCCGTGACCTAGAGAAGCTGCGCCGCTCTGATCTTGAGAGTGGAGCGTAACATACCGGATGGGTTTTGTCAAGAGACACGATATTATGATCTCTGGTTTTGTGCCATACTTTGGTGCAGGGTACAGGGTAAACACCCATTAGGCCCGTCGCGAAGTATATCAGTAGGAGCAAGGCTTAGAACCCACGGTGACGGAAGTAAATATTCCAACCTCGTCCCCAGGACGCTTTTCCCTGGGGCGCCCCACCTCCTAAGCCAGGCAAAAGCGCCCTGGGGACGAGATTGCAAATATTCGGGATTGAAGACTGGAATCTTGTGCTCCAACCTCTCTCGGCTAACCAAGCCGGCACGTTTTACGATGTATGTGAGCGACTTGTATCGTCCCGAGCCGTTCTATTTCGTGGCGCCACAAAAAACTATCCGTAACCCCACAAGTGTCGATCACTAAATGTGCTTTCATTTCTTTTGGAAAAAACGGCCAACAACAGTGTTGTCAAAAGTTCCTTAACAGCAACTCCAAGTTAGTTGGCGCTTGTTTAAGCGGTTAAATGCTTTTATTCCATACATTTCTGGCCTTGATACACTTTTCGACTCATTATCGCAGACTCATTCCAGAATGAAAGTCATTCCGGTATCATGAATTGGGAATAGCCACTAACCGTATCTCCGTCTCCGCGAATCACATGTCTGATCATCATGTATCACAAGTTTTGTGTTGATTTCTACTCTGTTGTAAAATGAACAAGGGAGTGGAAATCAACACGAAACGTGTAATCAATGTTCTAATGATTAACTCCTGTCTGGTAATACGTCTGAACAGAGACTTGGTGTATGTCACGTGACCTGATTCAATCAATTTCAAGTTCTTTGAAATAGCCATGTGCAGTAAAATAAGGGTATAGACCTCAATTCCTGCTATTTTTGGCAAAGAAAAGGCTTATCCTAGATTAAGTGAGAACTAAACAATAACAAGACAATCTGGGGTCAATTTAAAACAACTTTTATAGGTATACTGTTGTTTTCAGACTCTAAAACAATAGCTACACTGTATAAATTTTATAATTTGACCCCTGATGTGTATTCGCCCTTTGCATATCTCCCATAATATTCCTTGTTTGCCAAAATTTTGCACAAGCATTGTCTTCAATTTCTCTTGGGATGACCGTAATACCCAGAGGAAATTAAAGCAAAGGTTATCCAGAATTTTGAGGGTCAAATAACTTGTGCAGTACTATGGGAGATTTGCAAATGGCGAATGTTTTCATAGCAACTACGGTCAAGCTCAGTGCTTCTATAACCTACTTCATAAACTGGATCTTCACTTACTCTTAAAGTATTTAGCGTACAGTTCAGAAACTGCACCAGTAAGGAGACCAATCAAAGTGGTACAGAAATTCATAATCCATGCAATCGTATCCCATGTTCCGTTAGCCATTTGCGTGAGCTGGTGCCAAGTATACTCTGCAAACACGGTGACGGTTGCTTTGTCCCAAGTCCATCGCGCTATCCACATGACTTGCTGCCAGGCCCACTCGGCCATACACAGAACCTTGTCAAAGATCCACTCTGCCGTAATCTTAACTCCTGCAAACTTTACGGGTTGTTTTCCCCATGTAGTAAATAGTTATCCTTGATGCTCTGTTTACTCCATTCCATGTCCAAGCTGCTATCAACCTTGTAAATCTGCGTAATTTGTTCCATGCCCGCTCCGTTAGTCTCAGTGGCCCGGTCTCAAAGGTTTGGTTGTTGTATTGAATTGACGGAGGGACAGTTTCTGGGTTCAAACAGCGGTTTGGCGTCCTGATTCTAAAAATAGGAAATTTAAAAGTGAAGAGAAAACCGGAGATTTAGGACATTTATCTTGATTGTTAAATGTCAAAAGCCGAACACTCTCAGAAAATACACAGTAACAGAAGCACGTATTGTGGCTCTTTATTCAACACAAGGGAACGTATCACCTGATCATCTTGGAGTGTACTGTAGAAATTTTGTTGTGCAGCGCCTTTGTTCTCACAAAGAACCAGTTTTAAGTCAAGTTTCAAAGGTCTGATTTACATCTTTATGCCGTAATCCTGTCCGGTAAAAGAGCAAAACACACATTTTAAGGTTCGAAGAAAAGAAGGGTTAAAAATTCCTTACTTCTCAACTAAATGATTGGGTTGAAGCTATAAACAGGAAAGAAAACAATATTTCAGGTTATCACAGGCATCAAGGAGGAATCTTTACCTTTCCCTGCCAGTTTCCAAGTCCGAAAACAGTTGCTCCATTGCCGAAGTCATCATAAAAGAAATCTGGTTCATCAGCCACGAAAGGGTCTACCAGGAAAACATTTTGAATAGATTTCAAAACTCACTGAAAACTTAGTTATCAATTATGATATAAAATCTTTTTTTAATCAAAAGGCCTTAAATTTAGTTAAATTGAATTATTATCAAGATTTTTAGCTCTCGTTTTGAAGTTAAAAGCCGGTAATCTTGTTTCGGAATACAATACGTTGAAAGCGGAACAACCATCGAAGCGCGAACTAATGCAAAGTAAAATGCGCACGCGATTCGTGGTACTATGGATACCGATGATGTTACGTTTGACTTTTCCAAAACAGGATTTAAACAAATTTGTGAAGTGCTAATTTTCAAAACAACGATTACTTATATGATAACTTTTTCCAGTAATAGGCACATAAAATTATCCACATTACATCGGATTGGATAAAAAATGAAATAGTTTGATTATAATAAAAGAACAATGCTGTACTATGTCCAGGGAACAAATTTCGAAAAGGACAAATCGTTATCTCTTCCTATACCTATATCTTACCTTCACGCACTGCTTTAAGCGTAATCGAACGCACAAGGCAACCCGTTATCGCAGTAAGCACAAGTACAATCTTCATGATTACCACGAACTTTCTCCTTTTCACGCAAAAAGCACGTCTGTTTGTTCCGAAGAGAAGATTCAAGTGATTGTATGACCTCACAATCAGTGTTTTACAAAGTTAGCTGCGCGCGGTTTATGCGCGCGCGAATTCCATTTTCCACGTGTTGTTTTATTTCACTTTATAAGCATTTAGTTATATATCATTCGATACAAAAGCTCTTGTTATAGTTTTCTCAGTTTTTGCATGGCGCATGCGTTTCATGTAAATGATACTGACACAAACTTTAAAAGTCTGACTGCTCCTGTCCCACAAGGCTCTTGGCGTCAAGCTCAACATAGTACTCTCGGCTACATACTGTGGCATCTCTGGTTCTCCTTCATCACGAATAAATCTTTCGCCTTTTACTAAAGATTTCCGTGGAGGAGAACAATTGAAATGAGTCTGTAGATATTTTTTTCAATACCCTGCCTTGAGGCGGGGCTACGAGCAACGCACTAGAATCTCGCTATGACCACCTTACTTTACTGTTTGTAACCAACGGCGAAATGGACTTTAACATGTTATAATAGAAGGGTGTCTAAACCACAGCAACGAGAACGGCAAAAAAACGAACATGTCAACAACTTTCCTTCATGCTCGATCTGGAATGCAACGACACATCTGAACAAGTTCTCAAGAACTCCTAAGCCGTGTTTCGTCGCTAAACAAATTACAATCTTTCCCACGTTAGTCTTTTCTAACTCTCTACAGTCGACCCCCGATAATTCCAACCTTCAAGGAAAACAGAAAAAGTTCGAGTTATCGGGAGTTCGAGTTGTCGAGGGTAAAATTATATAGAAAACTGACCTGAAGGGAAATGAAAATTGCCTCGAGTTAGCGGGAGGATCGAGTTATAAAGAGGGTTCGAGTTACCGGGAGTCGACTGTATATTAAAAGCGGACACTTTTCCAAGACAGACTTCCCTCGGTAGTTTGGGCAGAAACTCCTACATTTCAGTATATTGCAAGGTACCGGAAAACTGCAACTAGCGAGCCATGTGATTCGTGCCTGCCATGGGAAAAGTAAAGTTTTCTAAGCGGCTTGGACCCTCGTCAAGTAACCATGGTAACCCTTCCCCGCCATATTTACTGCCGACACTGAGCAAGACAGAATGTTTACTGCTGTCGGCCAGTTTACCCCAAGAGAGCTTTATCCTCTGTTGTTTACCCAGAGTACCGCAAGGTTTTGCGAAACAGATACCTCAAACTGCCGCTTTGATATATACGAGTCCTTCACTTATAAGTCCGCTATTCATAAAAAAGAAATGATTTTTTCAGCACTTCCCGCCAAAAAAAACTGCACGGTATTATTCAAAAAGCGTACATGAATCGATTGATTTCTTCCAGCACGAGCGTAGACTGGTACCTAGTATAAATTCAACGGCGCGCGTTTTCAAAGCGAACCGTCCATGTTGTTGTTGGTCTTTGTTGTTCGACGGCTCTTTATAATCTTGTCGATCACGTCGCCAAAATGAGAAGAACAACTCTTGGAACACTAAATATTGGAAACCAAGGTAGACAAGTTGCCCGAGAAAAGAAAACTTCCCTTGGGCCGCGATCCTCAGTCGGAAATAGGACTTCTTTCGGGCGCCCTTCGTCGACCTCTGGGCGAAATTCTCTGGCGAACCCAAGATCCGCAACGGGCAGGTAAGCAACTGTGTTTTCAACTTTAGCCTTTTATATCTTGTTATTGTCGGTATTCTAAGACTTGTATACGTAAGGAACTCTTAAAAGAGTGCTTCTGCACTTGGCTAGTGGTTAGCAATGGTAATCTTCTCGCATTATTGACTGTTTAACGAATCATTCTTGAAAACTGAATCTTTCAGGAGGCCTTCCAGCCAGTATGGAAGAGAGAACTGTGTACAGATGAAAGATCCGAGACCGCTTTCTGACAGAGGTGAATACATACATTACTACTGTTGCTGTCGAACATTCTTTAAATGGCGAAATTTGAAATGTTCGAGCTAGGCTATAGAAACTTGAATTAGCAAATTAAATTTCGCTCAAGTATGGCTGATTTTTGTTTACCTTACAGGCTATCAGCAAAAGATGATTCGATATCTCATGGAGGTACGTTGTATAAGTCTATTTGTATTGGCTGTTGACAATCTTTTTGGTTCGTGTTATGGAAAAGGATACCAGGTTTTATAAGTTCCAGTTATGTGGATTTAATTTATAACTTATAGAATGAACATTTGTCATAGGACTTCACTTAATTGTGATGGTTGCAGTTCTGATCCGATGCGATTTCTTGGTTGATCAATGTGTCTATATTAACAATATTATTTTTACTTTTGTAGTTTCTAACAGAGTTCAACTATCCACATCAAATTTCCATGAGAATCCTAAGTGCACCCTCTATGAAAGAGTTCTGTAATATTTTCCAGGTGATTATGTAGACAGTCTACGTTGTACAGGTAGCTTGTCAAAAAGACAACGCAATCACTTGTCCTGTGTGTGCTAATTTTTTGAAATTAAATCTCTATAAAGTTCAGATGTGAACAAAAAATTTACAGTGCGTTGTGAAGTCTAAAAGGCTTTTTTATGTGATCCTTGCTGATCTTTCTGTCTTGATTCAGGAGGGGGGCGTAAGGGTTTGCGGTATTGCGGTATTGGGTCACTTTTGGTGCGGTGTTGCGGTAATTTTCATTTCAAAGTACGGTATTGCGGTTTTCAGAGTCCAAGCGGTTTGCGGTAAGTTTAAATTTTACGCCGCGGTAGTCTGTGAAAAAATCGTTGTGTCGCGGTGATCTGCTTCTTTTTCATGACAAGAGGATACAAATCCTAAAAGGTCTCCCTGGCTAGCCTGCGTGACCTTAGCCTCCCACGCAGGCGTTTTTAGTGGAGCTCGTATTTCTTTCCTCCCTTGGGGAGGGAAGAAATACGAGCTCCCCTAAAAACGCCTGCGTGGGAGGCTAGCGTGACCTGTGTGCACAGTCGGGGATTGTATTGCGCAAACAATGCAGACAAATCGTATGGCTTCTAATTTCAGTTAATACTTGATATGATTAACGACATTAACTTTTTCATCCAATGATACGTAAACATGTCGCATTATTTATGACTTCATGGACCTTGTGGGTATAGTCAGCTTGGTTAACCTCCTTTATACCAATGTTACTACCACTTTCGTGCCAGTCACCAAACAATAGAGAGCGATCCAGAGGGTCAACTAAGTGATCAGTCAGATATTCCAGCAAATAGTGAGGTCAGTGAGATCGTTATAAATTGCGTAGTGTCGAAAGATAATCTATGAAGATGGTGTGGTCTAAAAATTACTACTTGTCCTTCTCGTTGTGCATGCAGGAATATAGAATGTACTAATATCCATGTGTGCTTACCCTACGTAGCATTGTAGCCCGGGGGTGGTGGTGGTGAGGGGGGGACTTCCTGATAAGAGGCTAATGAAGATGTGCCGCTGGATGGGGTCGCATTTTCACGACTCGATTGACTATAATGGGGTCGCATTTTCAGAGAGTTTTTTTAGAAGGGGTCGCACATTTTCTGCTTTTTTGGGGTAAGACAGTTCTTCATATTTACGGTTAGCAAAGGTATCAGAATGTTTGTATTGTAGATGAAAAGTAAAGTGTTCTTCATTCAATCTAAAACAAGGTCAATTCATAAAAATAGAAAGTGACGACGTTGGGATCGAGAAAATTAAATATTTGTTAAAATGACTAAGATGGGGTCTATAATTGGCCACAGAATAGACTGTAATGGGGTAGGGGCTCTGAGAGGCCAGCGGCACATACCAACCAAATATTAACCCAAGTACCCCCCCACCCCCACCCCGGCATGGCAGTTTTACATGGTTTTGTCGGCAGCACCACTGTGAGCGGCGAAGCAGCCCCCGCCCAATCTCCTCGCCCACGCCCGCCTTATTTCGACTTATTATTTAGCGCTTAACCAAAACCGCCATGCTACGCAGGCTAGTGTGTACTGTGTGCCCTTCGAATCCAAAAGGCAGCCCGGGCGGTCGTTTTGAAACCCTCAACACAGAACCGAGTTAGTTGTGAATCTGAAACAACCTTATAAGAGTCAACTGTTTTCCATCCATTCAGGGCTCAAAAAAAGTCCTGTCCGGTCGTCCACGACAAGCAGATTTTCTACTGCCTGGGCAAGTAACTTTTAAACTCACTTGCCCAGTGGGCAATGGTCTAAGCAAGTGATCTTCTAACTAAATCATTAACTAAGAAGAGCAAGAAGTGGCCCTGGGCAAGCAAAATGCGAGAGCTGTTTGCCCAAAGGACAAGCTGGAATGAAGTTTTTTTCAAGTCCTGTTGATTGAGCCTTGATTACAAAGAGTGGTAAAATCGACAGCCATAAGCGAGGGATTTCGCTCAGCTACCATGAAAGTTGTTATCTGAGGTAAGATTTCTGTATAACCCCATACATTTATTATGCATGCAGCAATTTCATACTTTTTTGCACAAATTTTGTAATATAAATGGTAGAGTTGAAACTTGAATGCATAGTAAATCGATGGGGTTATACAGAACTCTTACCATCTCTGATTGTTTAATTCCCATGGTCCACCTACTTGTTGCTTGTACCCAGCATCACAGTGACCGCCCTGACATTGCATAACAGGATTCTTACTACTGATCTGTTTTATTAAATATGTGAGATTTGATTTTACTTGCATTATCAATAGTTTTTGTACAAGTACATCAAAGCAGACAGCCAGAAAGCTACAGTGCTGGATAAACCTGCAGAAGAAATCCCTAAGTTTTTCAAGATGATGGGGTATGTAGTTCTTGTCACAAGAAATAAATTTTCTAGTTCATTTTCACAAAATCTATTGAAAACAGAATTTTGAAGCAATAATACCCTTCTCAACAATAATAGGTCTCTGAATAAAAAAGGTCATGGCATTGCTTCATTTTTTATCCTGTTACGTTGATGAATAATAAGGTAACTTAAGAATGCTTAATCTTTGCATATTTTTAGGTATCCTTTTAGTATTTCAAAGAGTAATTTGCACTCAGTAGGCAGTCCACATGCATGGCCTATCATACTAGGAGCACTGTGCTGGCTTATTGAGCTGATCAGGGTATGTATACCATATTACACTGGAAAACTAACAATTGAATTCATAAAAAGCTTTGTTTTTTTATGAGTTTTTCTCAGTTTTTTGGATTTGACATTGGTTACATGATAACTGTCTGTGAAATCAAGGTAAAAATGTTTTTACCTTGTACTGTAGATGTTTCATTATTCAAGATAGGGCCCTTGACAAAAACTGGATTTGTCAAAAAAAAGATCAACCCCTACCACCCTATATCATAGCAGCCTTCTGTATTTCAGTTGACTACAATGTTGATCTGATTTGGTTCAAGCCAGCTGTTGTTGTTGTTGTAATTTTGAAGGCCAAGATTTGTCGTTTTATAGGAAAATGAGAGAATTTATTTGTAATTTTCTAACAGTGGGATCCAGTAAGAAAATTGTGAGCACTAATAAAGTACTAACACCAATAAAATCTTACAGCTTGCGATGAGTGTTGGTCAAGACATTCAGGGAACTGTTATGTTCCCGGAGGACACCTATGAAACAGGACAATACCAAGAGGATGGACCAAAACCTGAGGACAAGGTCTATAATACAACTGTTTTAGTTGAAATTCTCTTTATAGAGACCCCTCTTGTCATCTTTAGACAATTTAAAACCTTGAATTCCAATAATTTTACTCCGTCTTCAATGTTCTCTTTGTATACATATATATATTCATTCATTTCTGTGTGAGAATCAGATTGGATAACAACTTGTGTATTTTTAAAACTTTTATGTGACTTTTAATTTATTTTAGTAACCTTTAAGGAGGGTAAGAAGTGTTGCTTCAGGTGGTAAATTTTACTGGTTACCTCCTAATAAGAAGAACAATGAAGATAGCCCTTACTCTGAACTTGGGAATCCAGGCTAGGGTACCCAGGATATGATTTCTATGGAAGAACTGAGATTTCCTAGTAAAACCCGAAAGCACTTTAGTAGGCTGCCAGGGTCCTCCAGACCCTGCTAGAACTTGGGAATCCAGGCCTAGATTTCCATAAACTTCAAAAAAAAAAGGAATAGGGCACAAAACCAAAGAGGATGAATGATTTCTATGAACAATTACAATGAACATTTGAGAACTATTTTTGTTGTAGCTGTAGGGTGCGCTGCTGCCACTTTTTACAATTTAATTGCAATGTGGCCCCTAAGCTTCGCTTTCATGCCTATGTCATAAGTGTGTTTAAAGATGAATTGATATTCTTATTTAAGACTTCAAAAAAGGTAAGGTTTTAGTTTCTCAGAGAGGCACTGATCAACAGAGCGCCTTTGACAGGCTTGTACATCTTTCAGTTTTCACAGATTACCAGGCTTGTACATCTTTCAGTGTCACGGAGAGGCACTGATCAACAGATTCCCCTTTGATCTCTCTGTGGAGCTCCTTCCAGCTCCTAGAGTTGTTGCAACTTCAACTCTGAAATATAAGATTTAATGCCTGTTAGGGACTATTCACATATAGCTGGCCTGACTTTTATTCTGAAACGAGTTCATTCCATCTTCATTTATTTTTTTGTATTTGTTTACATGATACTGAAGAGTCAGTTCCTGTCCACTTTATTCTGGTTTTCAGTCGGAATAGAACTCTCATTCTGGTATGAAGTTTCCTTCTGGTATCATGTAAACTGAAAACAAATTTCTTTCTGGATTGAAAATTGCTAATCGTAAGTCTGTCACGAGTGGAGTATATTTTGATTGGCATGAAAACCACGTGGGGAGAACGTCTAAGGCTGAGCCAGTCAATTTTATCATATGAATGAAGTACAAACTTCACTCTGGAAGGAAAGTCATTTTGGTATCATGAAAATAGTCTTTTAGGGCTGGGGAAAATTGGTGCCATTTCTTTTACTTTTTCTCAAGTCTATTAATTTATTTGTTTTCTTTTTCAGTACTTTTTCAGTTATCTTGAGAAAAGTTATGCAGCTTTCATGATGGGTCAAGAACTTGATGAACTTGGGGAGTATGACCAAGAGTTCATAGAAAACATCAGTAAGTGTTTTTAAAAAATACTTTTGCCACACTTTTATCTGATTGCTTAAAGTACAGATGTATCATAATTTCTAGCTTCACTTAATTACATGTTTGAAAGAAGGAGTGAGTTGTAAATACATGTAAGCCCCTCAGATGATTTTTAGCATTATTCCTCGAGCCCGAATGGGCTCTGAGTCAATAGCCCATGAGGCCGAAGACCGAATGAGCTATTGACTCAGAGGCCATGAGGGCGAGAGGAATAATAATTGTTTTAGTGAAATCCAACTAGTTGGTCAAAAATACCGAGAATAAAAAAATTTTAGCTAGTTAAAGCTAGACTTTAATCCTTTTTTGCCGCCAAAAAGCCCGTGCTTTTTGCTACTAGGGGGCTATGCCTATAACATATAGCCTAGTAGTAGCTCAACCAATCAGAACACAGCAGTGATAATAGGCACTAGTTGGATTTTACTAATAGTTAATAGTCATATCTTCTACAATAAAATTACTGTAATTTTAACGGTATGAGGCTACATTTACACTGCACTGTTCATTTTTTTTTTTTGCTCTGTTTGGACAGTCACGAACCTTGAAAGGCTAGGTGTCTAAATTTTTCATCTGTTTTAACGTGGTTCTGTGTGAATAAAGTTTTAACTGGTCGAAAATTTTTCCAGTGTTGTGTGATAGCCTAAGGGTAAGATACATATTTTCTTAAGATACCGGTACTAAAGGCATGCCCAAAAAAATTGCAAATAATAAACACCAGGTCTGTAGTGTGAGAGACTGTGATTCAGTTTGACATTCAAGAAACACATTTGTGATATGCCATTAACTATTATTATTTTGGTTTACTTTTCTTAACAGGATTAAGGAACGTTGATGCACTTGATGGTATTAACCTTTACGTATAATTGTTAAATAATTGGGCAGTGGTGAGGTGCAGCTTTGACTGTTCACAACCTTTTGATATCTCTATGCAAACTGAGAAGAATGTAGAAAACGGTGCTCCCATTAGAAAGCTTGTTTTATGAGTCAATTTCATGAGTTGTGAGTCAAGTTATGAGTCAGGTTATTGACTCATTTACATGTAATTCGCTGCTCCCAGCCTTTTGCTCTCAGCCTTGTTATGCATGTCCAGTTTATGTGCCATTTGATTAAAACAAAAACAAAAAAAAACAGGAAATAGAAGGTTGTTAAACAGTGCAGCAGTGAGCGCTTTTAATTTATGGGTGATTTGACCATTATGTTTTGGTAACCTTCCTAACAGACAGCCCATGCCTGAGTTTAACCCTTTAAGACCTGAATTTATTTTTTGCACATTTTAAGATCTAAGGCTGGTATTGTTAAATGCACTGAATGAATGATTTGTAATGGTAAAATTTGTAATTATTTTTCTGACATATGGGGAGACTCAGACTAACATGCAAAATTCAGGACTAGGTTGCAAAATTTGATATGCCCAGATTGATTAGCCAGTTAAAAAAATTATTGCCTGAACATTCAAAATATTTCTCAGTTTTCGATTGGCTATAATCCCACCTCTAATTCTTCATAAACAGGTAGTATTGATCAAATTTGGAAGATGTCTGCAAAATGACATCTAGTTCAGTGGAATCTGGTTAATGTGGACACCAAGGAGAGTGTCTGTGTTATTTGGGTGTCCATAGACACTTGACTTCGTTTTATCAGCAGACATTCTTGCAGCAAGGGGAGCGAGGGTGGTGCAGTGGTGAGAGCACTTGCCTCTCACCAATGTGGCCCGGGTTCAACTCCCGGCGTCGACGCCATATGTGGGTTAAGTTTGTTGTTGGTTCTCTCCCTTGCTCCGAGAGGTTTTTCTCTGGGTACTCCGGTTTTCCCCTCTCCTCAAAACCCAACACTTCCAAATTCCAATTCGATCTGGAACGCACGGACATGTTTAAACGAGTTCATATGAACTCCTATGTGCTTTGTGGGTAAACAAGCAATTTACAATTTTTTTTTTTTTTACAATGTAAAAGAAATATTGTTTAATTCCTTAGTAGTAACTGTAACTAGTTCATCATAAACAAACCTCAGAATCATTCACCATAGTCTCAGACTAAAAACTCCCTTTCAAGTATTTGTCTTGAAATAAAACGATCAGGAATCTGTAACTTTGCCTTGTACTGGCACTTTGAGTTTGCGACTCAACCAGGTGGACTGAACATTAGACAGAACCTTTGAAAGGTCATTCGCTGTATTTGCAAGGTTTTCATACTAGGTAAAATATTCAGTCGTAGACAGTGCACAGATAAAAAGTGTCCATAAAGCGAGGTTGATAAAAATTAATGTGGGAAAATGTGTCTCTCAGGACACAAAAAGTGCCTGTTGCCTGTATTTAGCGGGGTATTTTTAGAGAAAATATATGAGCTTTTCGTTGAGACAAGCAAAACTGTCCATTATATATGGGTGTCCATATTAAGTGGATATCTGTAGAGCGGGGTTCCACTGTACAGGGAAATACCAGAAAAAAAAGATTCTTTTTTCTTTTAGGAATGGAAGAATTAATGAAAGAAAAACTTTCATTGGAAGAAGAATTGAATGCCTTGAAAAGTGATTCTGTAAGTACAAAGTTTGTGCTAGTCTCATGAGCAAAGCTTTGTGAATTGGCCATTTCCAAGTTGCCCTCAGCCCTGGGGAGTGGGGGGAGTCCTCCCTCATGCGAGCCATATAGGAATGTGCCGCCCCTAAAGGTATGGTTTTTGTGCCGTTTTGGTCTGGAATCGGTCTGGTTTTTGGGGAGCTACGGGAGTGTATGGATGTATTTGTTATTTCAATTCCAAATGAATAGAAAAAGAAAGATTATTAAGCGATTTCGACCTGGATTTTAAGAAATGGTTTTGTTGGCATTATATTGTAATTAACGATGACACAATTTCTGCCTATGCCAGGTCTGAAAACGGGTGTGGAAAATGGCCTATATTGGTCTGAAATAGGGCGGGTCAGGATTTGGAGGGCCGGGTTTTAAAGCAAGGCTAGGTGCGAAGCTATTGAAATGGGAATGATTTTTTAATCTCATGCAAATAAAACTCACTTTCATAACAAAGGTTTTGCACTTAGCCTGGTTTTGAAAGTGAGTGATTTGGAACTCAGAAATGGCAAACCCATTTTGGTTTAAATGTAGACCTCACTGAAGAAGTGTAATATGATTGTTTTCTTTCAGTCGCGTCTGCAAACACTGTCTGACAGAAAGGCAACATTAGTCTCTGACAGGTAAGAAACCTGGATTAGACAAGTAACAGTGATCCTAATATTTTAAATAAATTGGGCATGCATCGCATCTTTTATGTTAGGCTGGTTTTCACTAAGGACGGAGGCGGAGTCGCAATCGTAAGCGGAGTCGGAAGAGCGCTCATGACCTTTTAAGAATCAAAAATCAGAGTCGTGAGCAGATTCATAAGCGCGACGGAGTGGGAGTCGAGAGAATCAGAACATTTCCATTTTTTTCCGGCCCTGATTATGACCCCGTCGTTTACGATCTGGTGAAAACCAGATTGTTAGAGTCGGAAGCAGAAGCGGAAGGATAAACCAATCACAATGCACCTTCTGGGTTCACACGCTTAAATGTGATTGGTTTAGTTGTTGCGCTTCTGCTTACGACTCCGACGACCTAGTTTTCACTTAATCGTAAACGACGGAGTCGTAAGCGGAATCAGGACGCTGTTGTCATTGGATCGTAAAGTCTAACGCTTCTGACTCTGACTCCGTCGCTAGTGAAACCAGCCTTTACAGAGCATGCGCTGTATGATACAATGACATCGAATGCCCCCGTTTTCGCCCGTCCACACGTAAAAAGAGGAGCCGGTGTTTTAAAAAAGTACTCCACTCTGGGGATTTTTTTTGTATTAAAGCCAGCTATTTTCACGCCGTTTACGTGTGGACGGAAGGCTTAAACGCAGAAAATATCTCCGTTTTTTATTTTAGAAATATCTGGATACGTGGGAAAGAGGACCTAAAGAAATGTTGGTATTTTTCTTGCAGAGAAAAGTTTGTAAACTACATCGGAGACTTGGGGAAACATAAGAAACAACTGGATGATGTTAATAATCAACAGATGGAGGAATTACAAGTACTAAGTAAGAACAAGATGGAGATTATAACTGAAAACAACTTTTAGTTTCCAACTTTCTTCTATCGACCATGTAGAAAATAAAGCTACAGTAAAACGAGCAGGAAAAACGTGCAAATTGTTTTGCGACATTGCGGCAAAACGCCTTTTTACCACCCACGTTCAAACCTTTCTTCAATGAATCAGGTTGTCGGTGCGAAAAGTACCAAAAGGTAGAGAAGTCTACTTTTGCAAAAAAATCTCTACATGTTGCACGTTTTACCGGCCTAACACAAACTCGTTTTCCAACAAGTGACGTAATTCAAGTATATGGAGTGATTCCCGCTTAATTTCATCCAATCAGAAGTCAGTATTTGTGCAATTCGCAACAACCTGATTTGTTGGTTAAACGCGCAACCATATCGCTTTTCTACTCATTTTGCAGCAATGTTGCAAAACAAGTTGCACGTAATTGTTGCCTGTTTTTTTTGTAGCTGAGGAAACTGGAAACCTCATTCTTCCTTATGCTACTGACATGTCCGATGTCGTTACAACTGTCTGCTCTAAACTGTCTTTTACATAATGAGTTGTATAAACGAAGTGCCTTCCAGAGACTAAGTAAGGGTGAATTTTCAAGTCTATTTACCTTCGGTTGCATATATTAATATAAGCGTGTACACGTGAGGTTCTAATTGGGTGCAAACGAGTCATGTTTTACCGCCAAACATTCGAAGTTTGGTGTACGCGGCTGTTGTCGACTTGATTCGTTTTCGCTCAACAAAATATTCTTTGCAAGAATTTTTAGACGTTAAGAATAATTTCTGGAGGCAAGTTTGCTGTTTCTGAGCGAGAAATATGCCTGAAAGTTAAGAAAAATGTGGTATGAGCGGAACGCGTTGCTCAAAACATATAAACAACTTAACGGCTGTCAAACTTCAAATGTTTGGCGGCAAAACATGTCATGTCTGGCACCCTATTAGAAAATGTTTTTCCTCGTGTCCACGCTTAGATGCAACCGACGGTAGTACCAGTTTTATAGTAGCACAAGAACAACTTTTTAGCTACATCAGTTACGTTTTATCTATATAGGAGGCTCCAATGATACCGGTATTTAAAAAGGTTCGTTTAACTTTTCGTGTATTGGGAATTACTTGTTGCGTGTATTAAAGTATCCACTAGCGGAACATTTTTTGTTTTGCAAAAAGTAAAACTGGGCTGTCCGTCACTCTCTCAATAGGGAACTTTAATAAGATGGAGACGTTTTCGGGGCGACGGCGACCGGACTGGCAGAGAAAGCCTGGAACTAAGGCAGCCGTCGCTTCCCGTCAAAAATAGGGACCTTAAGATCCGAGGACGGCGACGGAAGAGAAAACGTCGTTGAAAAAGTGAATTCGCGTTCTTTCAATCTTCATCGCGATTACTCCAAGTCACTAACTTTGTCAAATGTAGACGAACCCTCCTAAAGTTGAATTCCCAAGAACTATATCCAAGTTCAGAGAGAGAGGGGAAATTTCGTCGTCGCTTGTGTATTTCCTCTGTACATCGTGAAATTAGGCATTTTCACATCGTAGTTGTGTAGTGACGGCAAAGAAATGTACAAAAAAGCGTGATGCACGTGCAAAATTGTTGTTTTGGTTATTAAACCTATTGCTTTTATGGCGTTCCCGTTGCCGTCGCCGTCGTCGGATCTTAAGGTCCCTAATAGGGAACTCAGAAGGACGGCGCCTTTAATTAGAAGAATACCGAAGAGGAAAATATGGCTTCACATAAAGAATTAAGGGAATAAATATTTGCTATGCAGACAACATGTATCGGATGAAGAGTTTCTCGTTTTGTGGGAAAATTATGAGTCCAAAAATCCCGATTTTCCTCGGGACAGTTAAGATCCGTGCACGCTAAAAAACATGCGGGATGCAGCTGAGTTCAAGGCAGAATTTCGTGTTGAAAAAAAAAATGATCTCCACAGGCTTGCCGAAGCCTTGCAAATTACAGGAACATTAAAATGCTACCAAGGAGCCGTATTCTTAGTTTGGTATTGAAATAATTCCCGGGAAATACTTGCATGCAACAACAACAACAACGGCAACAACTTTATTTCAGTATTCCCACGCCGAGTTAGTACATGGTATTACCTACTATTCTACATAATTTTCAATGCGTTTCATTTATACGATATTCTAACGAAAAGAGCGGACTAAAGACACACAACTGAAATATCGGAGTTCATATTTTTTGTCTGGATACTTTTATTTGGCTCGTTGGAAAATTTTGTCCCATGTCAAGCTCACTTACGGTTGGCTGTTTGCCAAGTTGGATCTTGACCCTGTGACATGAAAACATAGAAACATTCAAAGATGTAAGTTTAGATAACAGAGCTGGGAAATCGAGCTTGAAATGTGCCTCAAAGAAAACAAGGACAATTTAAGAACGATAATCTGCAAAATGTTGGTTGCTAAACGCAACAAACCTGATTGAAATGAAAGTTAAATACTCACGTTTTCGCCACAACGCCAAACAGACCAGTTTCACGTCGCCGACGGGACCACGACGGCAAGGTGGTGAGCACGAGCATGCGCAATATCCAACAAATGATGATGTCACGTCCGGTTGAAGTTGCCGTCGCCCCGAACACGTCTCTATCTTAAGTTCCCAAATATAATGAGCATTAAAAGTACAAATTATTATTTAATGCTGATTTGCGGTATCCATTATTTTACAGAGGTGGAACAAGACGCTGCGATGGAGGAAAATTCAAAGCTACAGGTGAAAGTTGTACAATTTTTAAGTCATCGAAAAAGATGGAAAAGTTTCCCTTCAGAAGTTATTTCTTTTCTTTGGTAATATTAACCAGTGATATTGTGTTACTAAAATTAGCACATGAATAACAACGGCATCTGAGCGGCAAAAAGACCTTACTCCGAGAGCTAAATTAAGGGAAACGACGGGAAGGTTACTGAAAAATGGAAATTGCAATATCGCAGAATGTTATGTTTGTTCAAACTGAGAGGCGATGTTAATACATGTCGGAAATGTTTAGACTTTGTGTCTCACTGTCCGAGTAAAACCAAACTCGGCGCTACGGATATAACAAAAAAAGACTGTTCTGTACGTATAATTTATAAAAACTAGAGGCGATTTTTCGCGATTCATCATTTTGGTACTCCGGAATTGGTTTCCCTGCGTTCCCCGAAGTTGTGTGAATCGGAAACAGAAACGTCCGGTTTGCTCGCGTCCTCCGCCGGAGATTTTGAATCCGGAATCTAAAATGAGTACTTTGTATCCGAATGAATGTTCTCGGATTAACTGTTGAGTGTAAAGATCTGTGAATCTTTAGCCTGCGTAGCAGGCGCTGGTTTACTCCGCGCGAGGGGAACACGCAAAGGAGAGAGAAGGAAGCTCTTTATCTCCTCTCCTCCTTTCTCCCTCTCGCGCGCGCTTGTCCTCGAGATTTCTCTGTTTGCCCTGAAAACAACCGGTGCCTGCTACGCAGGGCTAGCGAATTTGAATCCTTTAAAATGTAATGAATCAGCATCTGGAAAAATCTCCCCTACTGGGTTCGTACAGGTCATGGAAAACCCGGAAAGTCGTGGAATTTAAGAATTTCATTTTCAAGGCCTGGAAAGTCATGAAATTTAATTGTCGGTCTTTGAGAATCATGGAAAACTGGAAAAGGTCATCGAAAAAGTCATGGAATTTGAAGAACTCAAGCCTTGAGTACGAACGCTACAATAGTTTAAACCTAGCGTTAAAAACAGACTCGTAAGTCGACCAATGGATCTGACTAGTTCCAGCTGACATCCGGTAAACAAAATGTTGATAAACATTTATTATTTATTTTCCAGGAAACTCTTAACAACCAGGAGTTGAGTGCGGCGGATGTGGAGAGAATGAAGCTGGAGAAAAAGGAATTACAGAAAGCTGTAGAACAACTGGGAAAAAGTCGTGATTATTTCGATCAACAAATCTGGGAAAAGGAGATGCAGTACGCCAAAAAATACGAAGAGGTAGGAGAAATACACAAGGCATACAGTATTTGATCGTTAATTTTTTTGCTTCAAATCGGTGGTTGTAACTTGTCGTCGACTCTTCCAACGTCAAACCGGTCTTAGCAAATAAAACAACCCGCAACCGTTTATTGAACGGGGAAAAAACGGTGATCGTCATTTATATATAAAGAAGTTTTTAAAAACAACAACAACAACTTGCAGTAACATACAAAAAAGTACCAAATAAAGGGTGATCAGCCAAACAGAGAATGAGAATTTAAAACGGATTTTATCTTTAGTACGCATTTTTAATAAACATAATTAAAACTACTAGTTAAGGGTTTTTACTCTACATTATCAAAACAATTTTTGTTGCTTTCTCACTTTCAGACTGAGAAACATATTCAGGAATACAATAAAATGGCCAGGAAACTGAAGCTTATTCCCTCCACAGCTGAACATGCAAATGGCATCGATTTTGAGATGCATTTTAATCCACATACACAAAGACCGGATCAGCGAACCCACGTGGACTTTAAAGGAACAATTAAGGTATTTTCTGTCCTTACTGAGATTGAGAGTTGTCTACTCATTCGGTTCTTTTTTTTGTTACTGCTGCTGGGCTCGAGAAACGCTCGAATTCCAGATGTTTCTTGCACAAGCAGTTCTCACATTTTGTTTTGAATGTCTTAGTTTATGATTTAAAGCGTTTTAATTACAAGATGACTGACTTAGGACAAGTGAGCTCGTTATACAGCTTCTTGCCTAGCCTGGGACCAGGTACCGTAATGGGTGAAAATGGCAAAAAACGGGGTGTAAAAGCAAAACAAAAGACGAGCGAACCGATCCGAGGGGTGTAATGAGCCCTTTCCCATCCCAGACTCCCAGTTGCCTTTTTTCCCGCCACTGCCAAGCCTGATCTTTGGCTACTTCTTGCCCAGCAAGAAAATTAATTTCTCCCGAACGATCGCGTCTTTATTCAAGCCCTGTTCATGTGTTTTTTGGAACGAGGGAATGCTTAAAACTAATCCCACGTCAGATAAAATCAATTCGTGTTCTTTGAAACTTCAGTTAATTGCAACAGCGTTTGTCAATTGTAGACGTTGTTCATTAACATGATACTGGAAATTTCACGTCGTAGCCAAAGAAATGCACGCAAACAGTGCTATGCAGATACAGAGTTTTTGTTTTGTTTTCGTAGGACCAAACTTTCCGGAAACGTTTTTGACAAGAGCAAATGGATAACAAAAATAGTCACAAATCTTTGGAAATGATTTCGGAAGCGCTTAGGCAAACCATTGTACTGAGAATTCTTCTGTATATTACAAGTCGAAGAAATTTTTTAAAATTTTGGTAAGCCTGTGGGGTTAAACTTTTTTCTTTTGTTTTCGTAAGTTTCAGAAAAGCAAGAAAACAATTATTTCATTCGCTTCCTGGAATTTCGGAACAATACTGAAAGCTGTTGTTGCTCTCGTCGTCATTGAACCGACTATTTTAAAAAGTTTGCATACCTTGTTCGTGCTATGCAACGCGCCACCGTCAGTTCTGTTAAAGAGCTGTTTTCATTCGAAAACTTTTGCTATTTGTGTGTTATTCTATCAGTCATTGTCTACACGCATTAAAACGTTAAAAAAAGGTTAAAGGCTTGTTTATAGTGGAAATTGCACTTAGCTTGTCCAGCTAATTTACAGGCACTCCACTCAAATATTTAGAAACAAATAGTTCAAATACAACATAACAGGATTAAAAACCCCAACTGGCAGAAGGCGACCAGTTGGCTATTTACAAGCGTGGCCGAGAATTTGAACTCGGGACGCCCGAGCACAAATCCAGCAAGTGGCCAGAGCGGGACTCGAACCCGGGACCGCCGGATTGCGAGTGCGACGCACTGACCACTCGGCCACGCTGCCTCCCTAAACGTACTGAGAAAGGTTCTTATTTTTCTACAGCCTGCGTTGCTTCGCCTTAAGCAACAAATGAGTGAAAAAAGTCGTACTATCCAGTCTCAAATCATCACTGAGGAGGAAGCAGTTGACCAGGTAAAAATACAGCTATTCCTTTTCTTAAACAAAAGGGAAAATGAATGTATAATTGACATAGTAATCGTTTAAAAGTCGAATAAGGGTAAAACTTTTTGTCACCGAGAGAGACTCATAACAATTCGCTAATATACTAACTGTAGTTGTGCTTGTTCTGTTTTGCTCCAAGGGACCCATTGAATCTTTTTGTATAATTGATGGAATTTTCCAATTGAACATGGAATTATTTCGAGAAATACAGATATTTTGCTGTGTAATTTATTGAGGCGAAGAGGCCGAAATTGCCAACTCTACTGAAACTCTAAATTAATTGTTGTTTTTTTTGTCAGATAAGTGACATGGTGTTAGAGAAGAAGGAAGAAGTAACAGCACTAGATATGAGGTTGCAAGCGTTGGATAAGGATTTGGATTGGAAGAAAGAGGTAACGGCTTTTCTTGCAATTAAGGTTTATACAAATACAGTGGAACCCGTATTTGACGAACCTCTGTACAGTGTAACCTCTCCTTTGGGATACCTCTATTCAAGAGACACCTCCATTCAGGGGACACAAAAAATTTGGTCCCGGAAAAATGTTCAGATAATCTTTGTATTTGTTATGGCTCTACTGAAGAGACACCTCTGTTCAGGGAGAGATGCACTTTTTCTGAGTACCGAAAACACGGATTAAACCTCTATTCAGGAGACACCTCAGCACCCAAAAAGAGACTTACACAAAAGATCGTTACAACATCGATAAGTTGATCATGATTTTTTACACAATATCTAGCTGCTTGAAATAATGACTGCAGCAGATTCCAAGGCGGAATAATAGGAAAGCATTTTATTTTGTTAGTTTTGACTTATCCTATTATTCCGCCTTGGAATCTGCTGCAGTTTTTATCAAAATTATTAACAAACCTCAGCCCATCCTCCATTCAGGTGACACTTGCCTTGGTCCCGAGGGTGTCCCCTGAATAGAGGTTCCACTGTATAGCGAAGTCCTTGGTAAAACGAACGATTTTCTTTACCCAATAATAGTAAAATATATGGAAAGAACCTCGATATAACGAAGCCTCTTTATAGCGAACATATTTTAAGTCCCTTGGCACTTCGTTATACTGAGGTTCCACTCTATGAGCAAACAAAGAAAGCACAAAAAAACAAAAAAAAAAATGAAAAGGATACCGAACACAACTACAGAAGGTAATTTGTTTTTTGATTTAGATCATGGCAAAGGAGTATCAGAAATCCACAGGCAACGCTCAGAGTCTGGAGGAAGGCGTCCAACAAATGCGAAGCGAATTACGGGGAAAAGAAGAGGAAGTAGAAGAACAGGAGAAAAAACTCAAGGAGAATAAATTAAGGTAAAACTCAAGCAACCTTCGTGGGACTTGTTCCTTAAAGGTTGTAACCTTTGAATACAAACACTTCTCATTGCTCCCTCCCCGCCACCCACCCCTGCTATGGACGCGAAACGTCACCAGCAACAGGGAGCGATGAGATGCGGCTGTATTCGCAGGCAACAAGCGTTGGGCGCTGAGCCCAAGCTTAGTAGAATAACGAAATAGATGTTCTCTCATGGCCCTAAAGCAAACGTTAGGTCATAGGTATCCTATTATAATTAGCCCCAATTTTGTTCACTTATTCTGTTTGCGGGCTTCTGTGTCTTTTGAATAGAAAATCTACAATAGTTAGTAGGAGATTTAGAGTTACGGTTACGGCAAACGGCGGAGTCAGGTTAAAACTTCTCAGAATAGAAAATGAGCTGACAAAAATATTCCGGAACAGTTCTTATAATATGGATGAAAATAATATGTAACTAATATTTTTCTGTAGAAGTGAAGAACATAGGGAAAACTTTGTCACTTGGTACAAATTCACATTTGCCGAAAACGTGATTGTAATTGTCTGCCTTCTTTACGTTATATGGTTCTTAAAAGCAATGGAATGATAAAGCATTGGGCTGGATCAGTAACCTTATGCGATGTACGATCTTTTCTTTTTTGCAGGACTGAAGAAAGTAGAATTGCACGCGAGCAAGAAAAAGAAGAGTACTCTAATTTTGTCCTGAAGGCCTGTCAGATGATAAAAGAACACAAAACTGCCATACATGTAAGAGACGTAAAATAGAGTTTTTAACGGAGCATGGGATATTTTTTATTATAATTTTTAAACACAAACTATCTCCTGTAGCTCCTGCGATAATCGTAAGAGAGGTTAAGCATCACGCTTACGTCAAACGGCAAACGCGAATTTGTACCATGTGACCAACTTTCCTCTTTACTTGTCGTTTACCGCTCATTATCTCTACACCTAAATTAATGGTTTCACGAACTTTTTTTATCCATAAGAATTGTTTTCAGCCATTTTTATCTGCTCATTTTCTATTTTGAGAAATTCATAACTCGAATCTGACGTTTGCCGTTTGCCGTATACGTGAAGCTTAAACTCCCTATCAGCTGATTAATGACTATATGAAACCTCATAAATTTAAAAGTGTCCCGCACCCTCCAGTTGTATGGTGTTCAATTCAGCAATTGCTCCCCAGCGGAATACAATGGGTCGGTTATTAAAACGAAGTCTAACTTAGAACGCGGTGTAGGAAATCTTTGGACCTGCAGATCTTTTCCTTAGTGGATTATTTTAAGAAGACAAATACTTTTCTAGTCTGTGCCATATGCTTTCATGATACTGTTCACAATAAATGGTGTTTTCGTAAAAGCGTTCAGCAAACTGAAAATGGCTTAGAACAGGGTTTTGTTAAACACTAGCTAAACTCCGTTCAAATAACTGGCCCACTGTGTTGAAGCCCTTTCCACGGGCGATTTACGTTTTATATGACGTCACAGCGGCCATGTTGTTGCGCCGAGCTACCATCCCATTCACCACTTTGAAAACGAGAAGGGAACTGGGCCGAGTTACTTTCGCAAAGACTCCCGGGACTGTTACTAGAGAAAGGTTAAAATATTGGCCAATAGCAGACCGTCCCGTCCCAGAAACACTTGCGGGTCACAATTCGACTCCAGTTCCCGCGAATGGGATTTGAGTCCGCATAGCTGCAGGCCACGTGAGTGAGAGTGTTCTTTATTATATACATGAGAAAAATGATACGTCCAATCAGAAGCCACAGAGGTGTAGGAGTTTCGCGCCAAAATTCCCGCCTTTTATTGCAGCTTGCAGCGCCGCTTCGCACACATTTATCAACGAGAAAAGTTTTACTCAAGGAGTTTTTCTCGCTAAAAAGTGAAAAACATTTCGGAAATGGAGTGGAATAGTCTCGTTTGTTTCACTGTCGATAAAAAAATACGGTAGAGAGCCGGTGAAACAACAGCGGAAAGGGATTAACAGAACGAGACGTAAGCTTTTGTTGTGCTTTTTGTCGGAGCTACTTTGCCTTTCATTTAAGCTTAAGCTTATATTGAAACCGGCCATTTTACTTAAATTCACTCATTTTCAATTGTGTATTGAGAACAAACAGTTAAGATTACTTATAGTTCTTGGATTAAACCTCATATCCTCACCGTCATTTATGTTTTTAACAAACGTTTTTACTAAAAAGCTGATACTTCGTTTTCGTTGTCATTTTGCGGTAAGTGTGTAGCGGCAAATTTTAGCATTTTTGAAAGATTTAAAATAAAAAGGCCCGCAAAATGATGAATGACTCAGTATGTATATAATAAACACAATACCACATGGAAAGTGCTTTGTACGGTATTTACGCACTCGTTGTTTTTGTATCAGAAATCTTACTCGTTCGCTGCGCTCACTCGTTCGATTTCTGATACGTCAACAACTCGTGCGTAAATACCGTACGCCAGCACTTTCCATGAAGTATTCTCTATATACTACTGGTCTTGCTTATGTTTCTATCCTAGCTCTAAACAACACCAAAGTATAAGTCGCTTTTCTCAAACCGCACTCACACAACAGAAGTATTTTATTCGATCCCATTTGCTATATCCACAAACTTCAAGGTGGCGGAGAAGAGTCTTTTGTGAAACATCCACGGTCATAAGCCTAACAGACATCGTCCTCGAGCATTATAAACCCAGTTTCGGCTCGCCGATTTGCTTTCTGCTTTTTCTTTATCTTGCATTTGTTATTTTTCAGAATCGAATCCAGGAGCTTCAAGCAGATGCTAAAGATATTCTCGAGGAAACGAAGGCGCTGGAAGTTCCTAAGTCTTCCATCCTGTTAGCACAACAACGATTGGAAGATCAACCTGTCGAAGGCTTATAAATTATCCATCCTGTAGACGCTGTCACATTTCATAACATTTTAGTTGACTATTTTATGAGATTCGGGTCAAGTCTTATTCTCCAGTCATGAAAACTGAGAGATCAGCAGTAGTATAAGTTATGTTTATGTGTGCGGTGTAGGATAGTCTGCGTTGCCGAGCGCAGTTGTGGCTAAGTGGTCGTTTCCCGCGCTTAGCTGCCGCTGCGAGTATCAGCTCTTAATTCTGATTGGTTCTTTTGGTAGGGGTTAATGGCACAAATGTTTAAAAAAAAGCATTCAATGGGCTAGATGATTTGTGCGATACTATTCAACCAACATTTTGCGACATTTTATTCCAAAACTAAATGGATCAGTTCGGTCTAACGTACCCAGCATGTGCAATTTCAAATCTGGGCGCGAAACGCGTCCTCTGATAGGAATCAAACGAGGCCAGTCCGATGCTGCCTTTTATAGAATTTCAAAAAGTTTGGTTGAGTGGTTTCGTACCTAATAATTATAAAAACGTATGGGAGGCAAAACACAATCCATCAATCATTGCTTGATTAATCACAGGCGTCCAAAGTTCACGTTACTAGTGCCTTATGTAGATCACAGGCGACCCAAGCTCATTACATGAACGCGGACGTGACTCTCGCTTGCGAGCGGTGTTGTTTTACAAACGGCTATTTGCAATGGCTTGTATGGGATGTAAACGGTTTTTCTTGAAAGAGAAAAAAAATGTTATGTTTTTAAAGAAAATCGACTTACCTTATTGCCTTGTTGTATTCTTTATTGTTTGCCCTCGTCTCAGGCCGTTTTGAAGCGTTTCCGGCGAGTTAGCGTATTTTGGTGTTCCACTTCTAAAAGAAGGACTTTCTTTCTTTTAGCAGTGGATAATGATACTTAGCGTTCGCAGACCTCAGTACTTTGTCATAAAAAGTCTCAACGTTTGCTTGTAATGAGACACCGACCCTCTTGTGAGAAAGTTTATTTACATAACCCTCTCGTAACGTGAGCTTGGGACGCCAGTTCTTCCATCGGCACATGCCCAACAAGTTTGTTATCCAGTTTGTTAAGTCCCTCACGTTAACTGACCATTCACCGTATATTTGTCACTGTTGCAGTACATAATTTATTAAAGTTTTGTTTTTTAACATTCGGTTGTTTCTCAAAAGAAGAAATAGGCGCCATGGGCGCTATATCAAATCGTTACGATACGCCAAATTTTGGCGGGAACAAAGAGAGTACTACAATATTTTTGTAAACGGCCAACTGTTTTGGTTTAAAACTGGATCACCTAGTCCAAGTCGCATGCGAGAACAAGAAAAAAGGACGTGAGGCACATCGCAAAACACCATAAAAGCGCAGTGGCGCTTACAGCGTTTTCTGCAAGAAATTAAATGGGCTTTTTAGGGCTAAATTCGAACAGGTTTCCGCTAAAAGCGGACTCTTTCTTACATCTCACCTCCAGTCACAGATGAGATTTGCTGCTTATAAAGAGTAAATGAAAACTCAGTAAGCTAACAGACTTTCAATGTTTTGTAAAGGAGCTGCAGATTTCTGCGGCATCAGATCAAAAGGGTCTCAAGGACATTCTATGGTTGCCGAAAGGTGGAGAAAATGTTCTGGTTTTGTCATTTATTCATATTTTAAAAGACTGCATTTACAGCAGTTAAAAGGGATGAAAAGTTGTAAACTAAGTACAGTGGAACCGAAGTGCCAAGGAACTGGGGAAATTTTTTCGTTAAATCGAGGGTTCGTCATATCGAACACCTCCATTTAAAGCTATTTACCGAATTTTCGAGAAAACTACCAAAATGTTCGTTATATCGAGGCATAGTTAATAATTAATTTACAAAACTCAGCATTTTCGGATCTGAAAAATTACTGTAATACCGTAACATTCCGAACATATGCCCCCCAAAGTCGCAACGCAAAAAAACCTCCTTCAACTCGCCCCTCCGAATATAAGCCAACCGTGGGGCTTGTACTTGGAATTTGCCATCTAATACAGAGTAAAACAAAGCAAAAATGGTAAATTTCCCTCCCACTACTAAAACGCAAATTTCCCTCCATTCATTAGCCGCTGCGAATATAAGCCCTCCAAAGAGGGCCTTTGAAAAATATAAGCCCCGGGGCTTATTTTTGGAATTTTACGGTAGCATTTTAGCACCGAGCTATACATGGCTACAGCACTACAAACTAAAGAACAGGCAAACAAAACTGCTTAAAACTACTGTACACATAAATGTTATCCTTGTTGTTCTGTTTGGTATTCATCTTCTCTCATATTCTGACATTTATTCGTTATATCGAGGTAAATGTTACGTTCGCTTGTGGGTTGTGTTCGTTGTGGGTTGTGTTCGTCATAACGAAGCCTTCGTTATATAGAGGTTCGTCAAATCGAGGTTCCACTGTATGTGAACAGGGCACTATTTTGTCAATAGAAGGGGTACCTTTTCTGTCAAAAATGGTATATAAAAGGCTAAAGGGTTGGACCTCGGGTCGGAGCCTCCCTGTATTCAATAATACCGTAAAATTCCGAAAATAAGCCCCGGGACTTATATTTTTTCAAAGGCCCTTATGGAGGGGCTTATATTCGGAGGGGCCTATCTACGGAGGGAAATTTGCGTTTCAGAATCGATTGTGCTAGCCTTATAGTTGGAAGTAAATTTACCGTTTTTGCTTTGTTTTACTTTGTATTTGAGGGCAACTTCCAAGTACAAGCCCGCCGGGGGGCTTATATTTGGAGGGGCGAATTAACGGAGAGTTTTTTGCGTTACGAGTTTAGGGGGCTTATATTTGGAGGGGCTTATACACCGAGGGGCTTATTTTCGGAATTTTACGGTACTTTGTTGAGTAGCCCTGCCCCCGGCCCTAAAACAATTGACTTGTCCATGTTCCGTCAGCATTAACCTTATAATTGTCTTTCGTGTAATCCATCACGTGATACTTCCTTTTCTCAATCACGTATTTATAAAGGTTTTCGTAAAGTGGACTCAGTCGATCAACTCCAGCCAGCTGTGCAATGACACCGTTATAATCTCCCCTTGTTCCAAAACCATGAGCATAGTGTTCAGGCATACCAAGAAAGAGTGTCTCCTGAAAATCTTTTTCTTCATCAGCATTCATCTGCTCTTCAGATGGCAAGCTCTTTCGTCCACTTAACATTGATGCAATGTACTGAGCTTGAACACTAAAACGTGAAAATAAGCAGAAAAAGGAACACACTCCGATGAAAGACAGCGTTGGGTATTTTGTATTAAAAATGTGTTTGTATAAATGAGTCACCCGATTGTTCCTGACCTGAATACTACAGTCATCATGCAGGAATGGAAACGAAAAAATGTAACCAGTGCACAATAAGATGCAGTCAACTTTCCTCTCTTGTCCATCCTCAAACAGGACTGTTCCATCCGCGCAAACAGACATTATCGGCATTTGTTGTTCCACATTTTCTGGAAGTTTAGAGCAAAGTCTTCTTTTATGGCTGAGGTAAACTTTTTCTGCGCAGTTTGCTACGTTGAGACAAATATCTACACCAGAAGGCCCAGCACCCAAAATAACCAGATGTTTTCCTGTAAATACTTCAGGATGTCGATAATCATGACTGTGCATAACAACTCCAGGGAAAGACACCAGACCAGAAATTGCTGGCAAACGAGGAATAGAATAATGTCTGTAGACAAAATGATTAAAATGAAATTTTAAGTATTTTTGATAAAAGCTAGCCTGAATTTCATCCGATTACTTCCTGTCGTTATTACTCCCTTAGTAACGTCGTTGCAGACTTGCTACAAGTCGACCTCTTGGCGAGTGGTGAGAGCGGAGCAAGCCTTTTTTGGACGCAAAGCGGCCTACCGAGAGCGACGAAGTTGCCATATGAAATCCGACGAAGGACTTTTTTGAAAGTCAAACGTCGTTGCTGAGAGGTGAAAACGACTCGAAGCAATCGGATGAAATTCGGTGAAATTCAGGCTATAATCAGAGCCATAGCTAGGGTGGGGGGGAAGGAGGGCAGCTGCCCTCCCTGGACCTATTGAGCCAGACAAATCAAGTCTGTGGATGGATTTGTTTTCTTTAGACTCAGATATTTTGATTATGGTGACTTGCAATTGTTTGCCATTTTCATATTGAAGGTCGATTTTTCGGAGACATATCTCATGACAAGTGCTGAAAATAGCGTTTAGGAGCCTCCAAATTTGAAAATCTTCTGGGGGAGGATACCCCCAGACCCACCTACAATGCACTTGCCTTCGTTCAGCACTCGGGATAATGCACCCCCCACCTCCCCCCACCCGTTACAATAAACCTAGCTACGACCCTGATAATACGGACAGAAAGGGAAGGGAAGAGGCCATAGTGTCCGTATTATCCAGTGTCCAGATTAAGCAGGCTGTCAGAAAAAAGGCAGAAATACATGTTATATATAAAGACTAGAGCAGACATTTTTTACACAAAAACATTGGGTTTGTTCAACTGTGACTTAAGGAAGTTCAGTCAGTGAGTCTCAAACTAAAATTACCTTTTAAGTACAGCTCTTAATTGAAACACGACAATGGAATCCATGACTTTATTTAGCATGGACAGGTCAGTGGCAGATCCAGACCTTCAGATGGAAGGGGGGGCAGTCACCTGGACCCTGAGATAAGGGGGTGGAAGGGGGGGCCTGGTCTCTGGAAGGGGGCGCCTTCAGATCTCAGTTTGGTCTAAAAATAAGGGAAAGGCCCAAGGCACTCCTCTGGATCAGCCACTGCAGGTTAAGGTGGACTGAGTATTTGACAGAACTTTTGAAAGGTCATTCGGCATTGCAGTTATAGGTTTTCACTAGTAAGATATTCAGTCATAGACAGTGATCAAAAGTGTCTGTAATGCAGAGTTGATGCTATATGGCAGTCTGTGACTGGACACAGGAAAATGTCTGCTGTCCAAATTAACTGGTGTATGCATTAAGTGTGTTACTTTTAGAGAACATTAATTTGAGCTTTTGGTTCTGACATATGAAACTGTCCATTATTATTTGTATACAGGTGTCTGCATGTAGTAAGTGGTGGTGGTGGTGGTGGTGGGGGGGGGGTAGTGAAGTGAGGGGTATACAAACAGCCAAGTTTCACTGTATTCTTTTACTCTTAAAATAAAAACAAACATTAAATTACAGAATCTTTTTTAAAAAGTGGGGATGTGTCTGCAAAACAAGGATATAGGATTGCTGACTAGAAGAAATACATTAAAATTATGCAACTTACCCATTGCAAACAATAACAGCATTAAACAATAAAACTTGAGATTCTTTTGTATCAGCATCTGTAACAACAACTTCCCACAGTTGCTGCTGACTGTCTTTACCTATCAGTGGACAGACACTGTTTACGATAGAATTAAACTGAATGTATTTGTACAAGTCAAAATGACTGGTATAATCTTCTAAGTATCTGAGAACTTGTTGATGACTCAAGAATGAGCTCCACTCAGAGGAAAATGGAAAATCAGGGAAAGCCATAATTTCTTTGGGCAGATTGGTTCTGAAAAGAAGATCAAAATTGGAAATACTGTCAGTGAAATTTATTAACATGTTTTCAGGTGGTCAGGGGAATTATAAATTAATATTACAATAATATTGATCATCAACAATTTTATGATGATGAATAATAATTATTTATCATCATAAATAATTGATAAATTAATCTGAGAACAGTTTTTAAAATTCAGAGAAAACACAATGATAACTATATGAAATTTTGATATTTCATGTTTAAAGACCATGACAAGAATTAAAACTATCTCCCATCATGATCAGAAGACCTCTGTTTTTGAATGTCAACACCACCAGGCTAGCAATATAATACACTGAGTTATAATAGCTGCAACAAATTTGCAGTGCACCATCTTGCACAAATTATACTATTTGAGATGTCGAGACTTCCTTAAGATAGTCACAGGGCACTTGGACACGAAACACAACTGGAGCAAAAAATGGGCTCAAACAATAGGGACAACAAAGAAAGCAACATCTTGTTCTGTTCTGAGGATCAAAGGGTGCATTCCTTTGGAATGATCCGCATCAGGATCAGAGATCACTCGGATCGTGGTAGATCAAATGAACCGATGAATCCACTCTGGACAAGGATTCATCGGTTCAGTTTATCTATCATTATCTGAGTGATCTAGGATCACAGATCCTGACCTGGATCATCCCAAAGTGTACACTGAAGTCTGACTTAGTCAGTAAAAAGCAACAGCTACAGAAAGAAGATGAACCTGTGTGGGAATACAACTCTAAATGAAGATCTGACCATCACAGCAATATTGTAATTGCAATTTAAGGAATATTGTTTATCATTACAAACAATTCTTTACAGTGCGACCACTCATGGAAACGGAGTACTCGAAAAAAGATTATCCAATCACAACAATTTTTGAAAACAAAAAATTCTCAAGTTTTTTTTTTTTGCAAACAGACCAATAAAATTCAAGATTCAACTATGCAACCATTGAAAACTCAAAAACTGTTCGAACTTACCTCAACTCTCAGGAAACAGCACTCAAATTTATGAATGCTTTGGTCCGAGAATAATCTTGAGAATCTTTTGTTTTCAAAAAACGTTTTGCTTGGATAATCTTGTTTCAAGTGCGCCATGCCCCAGTTAAGGTTTGAGTACCGGTAGTTGCACTATAAGCAACTCAGGCAAACTTAACAAATGCTGTCACTTGTGTCAGTTACAAACAAAGAATTAATGCCTGGATAAACCATGCAGACAAGGATGATGACAATGATGGTGATGATATTATAGATGATAAAGGGTTAGATTCAGAAGAACCTGGTCCTAAATGATTTGGATGAATCAGAAGAGTTGGAGTATAGTGAGACAGAAGTGAAAGAAGATCAACGGGACTGCTAAACACATCTTGTAAATGCTGAATAATAAGGCAGTTCACCAAAACTGGTCAGCCATGAAAGAAGGCTGTAGCAATAATGAAGGCAAAACCAATGCACAGTTGAGCAAAGAAAATGTGTACAAAACACCGAGAAGACTGAGCACACTATTGCGAAGCAGAATTGACTTTATACAGGCAAACCCACAAATATTATTCACAGGCATAAATAGACCTCTTTAGCTTGTTAAACATTTTCCCAATGAAGGACCCAAGGGAATTTGACCCTTTGTCTTTTCATAAAGCAAGTGAATAAGATGAAATTTGCAAGAAACAGTTGTCTAGAGTATTATCACCTTACCTCCATTGGGAAAATAAAACATACAAGCTAAAGAGGTCTATAGGATTGCCAAGGTCCATACGCCAGACCCGCTTCGACGCAGCGTGCTTTCAAAAAACTGTTACGTAATAGAGTGCGATGGAGGAACCGGGTCATTGTACAGGGACTCTACAGGGGAACCCAACGAGAATATAGTTCAAAACCACTTAAACATAGCATTGTTGAACGTATTTTAGTATTTAAACGTTAGATACAGGCATATTTTTATCCCCTAAAAGATTTTTCATCCTTTCGGATTTCCTAGCTGGAAGTCTAGTGATCCGAAAATTATAGGGATCAAAACTTACCTTTTCGAAAATTTCAGACAGAAAAAAGGCTCCTGAAAATTCTAGGTGACCTTTTTAGGGTAAAAATCCGTTAAAAATGGGAAATTAGACCATTTTTTAGATGTTCGAAAATCCCAGGAGAGACAGGCAAGCAAGAAATTTTACAACAAATGTTTCGAAAATTCTAGATCTCAAATCGTCTTCCGAACAGATATTTTCCAAAAATTGACGTTGGGTGCCCCTGATGGTACCAGAAAACTGAACACTTAGTGTCTATCAGCAGAAATGACACGCTATACCTGAGATTTCTGTAAAGGCTGGAGTGAACAGGAATTCCGCGTTCGTCAATTCCTGTATTTTCGCTGTACACCCATGTTCCGCCGACACGAGAGGCTTTCTCGAACACACGCACATCAAACACATCGAGCTCACTTGTGAGGTGTCTAGCGGCCGCAAGTCCTGCAGCCCCGGCTCCAATCACACACACTCGAAGCTGGGGCATCTCTTAGGCCCTGTTGATGGAGAAAAGTTGTCCCTTTTACAGCCTGAGAAAACAGCTGACGTTGAACCTCAGCGACGCCGGAAACAATCGAAAGGGGATTACGGAGAAGGTCTGGGCACCACCAAAGAGACAAAACAAGATGGCAGACATTAGTTCGGGACATATTAGTGGACCAAAGAGATTATCCAGCGGACGTTGGGACGTTGGACATTATTCCCTGATCATTCGCTGCAAGCGAACGAGCTAGAAACGCGAACGAGAGTCATAGACCGGGCGAAAAATGGCGCGAGTGAAACAGCGGGGAAAGGAAAATGGGTAGGGATAGGGTGTTGAAGAAAGACAATAAACTGAAGGAAAAACAGGTAAAAACTTCCTTTCTTCCCCACCCCCACCCCGCCACATTCATTTTTGGCCCTCGTTTCATTTCTCGCGCGGCCCAAACCGAAAATCGCGTCCCTCGGTCTTTCTGTGCCCCGAAACTAGGCTTTTGTACATCATGCTTTTGCTTCCCTACTAAAATGCTCCACCTTCATGCTCCATTTTTCCCACTGAAATGCTCGGTCTCCCCAAAATAGTCACTAAAATGCTCGGATAATGCTCATTATACAAACGGTTTTTTTAATTAATTTCAAAGTTTACACTTACAAAAACGTGCAAGTGTTGCAAGTAACAACGACAACGTGTACAAGTTCATAAATACAGCCAAAAAAATCAGCTGTATTAGGTTTTTTGTGAATTTGAATTCTAGTCTTCATTTTGTTTAAAGAAGCAGGAGCTCATGGGGCATGGGCTCCTGAAAAAAGTTAATTTCTATTTTATTTTCTCGGAAAAATTAATTTTCCGGGGAAAATGCCACTAAAATGCTCGAATAATGCTCGAATAATGCTCAATGCTTTTGCCTCACTAAAATGCTCGAAAAAATGCTAGCATAATGTACAAAAGCCTACCCGATACCAAAGGGGAACGCTCGCTAAGCAGGCTAATGCGACCAACCTCCAGCTATAGATGGTTTTCACTGTGACGTCATCAAATTGTAAAGTCAAAATAGCGAGGCTTTACGAATTCTTATTTACTCTAGGTTGAAGATAAACAAAAAGTAAATCGTTGTACAATTTTCCATTTCCGTAGCATGTTTCATTTCGAAAATACAGCAATTTGAACTTCCGAGTTTTCACAGTGCGTGACACCAAAATAGGAATGCTGTCTCGTTGAAAAAGTCTCTCCTCTTAAGCTTGATTTTCAGCAATATAACCACTTCAAGTATTAGAAGATATGTTTATGCTTACGTACGCTAGTTCTCGAGTGAAAAGAAAGAGCTTTATAGGAAAAGTAAACTCCTCGGTCTAGTTGTTCGAAGGACGATTAGCGCTTACCCCGGGTTAAATTTAACCCCGGTTTCATTTTCTCGGATAATTTTGTCTGTTATTTTTAGAGCTTCCAATCATCAACTTGTAGACAAAAAGAATTAAGACTGAAATGCCTTTTTAAGCTTTCAAATCTGAATTCAAATCTCGCACTAACCCTGGGTTATCATAACCCGGCTTTCAACAACTCGGCCCAGATGTTTTTTTTGATTTCCGGCGGCCATATTGACGGTGCACCAATATGGCGTCTCCATACAAATGTCTTCAAAGGTGCGTGAAACGTTTCGCCAAATACTCAGAAACCATGGGCCACAAAGATCTGAGACTTGAACAAATTGTTTATGTATTAGCCTTTTATAACACTTAATTTTCTTGGTTTCTTCCACTGGACGGTTTCCAATTTAATTTTTTGTTGCGTGACAGATAAAACGATCTATAGCTACACAGCGCCATTTTTCTTGCCCTGACAGTAGGCTCGATTACCAGCCGCTGTTCGGGAAAATGAGCCCGCACTCATCCCCCCGAAGGAGAGGAGAGGATCAAGACCGGACCCGGGAGACGGCGGAAATCGAGCCTACCCTGACAGCGGATCGAACTAGTTCCAGTCCGCCTCCTCATCACAACTGAACGAGCGTTTCCTTTACCCTGGACACCGGAGGTTTCTTCTCGCGTGTGACAAGGAGCTTCGTCGCCCTAGTTGCCCTGTGGTCGACGTTGGACGGTCGACTTAACCTGAGATCACGCCCAATTTGAGCGGTTCTCATACATTCTCTCTAACGGCTAACGCTAAAATTGGGCGTGATCCAAACTCATTCACGTCTGTACTCGTTATGGCCAGATTTTGGCCGTAACGCTGATTGGCTGTTAGAACAATGCCACAAGATGTGATTGGCTGTCGGAAACGCCGGAAGTTGAAAGCGCTTATTCCTCGCGTGGTTGTTTTCGTGGATGATCCGTCGTCGGCAGAGAGAATCGAAGGATCGATTTTGCTCTCTTTTTTATTGTTTTATGGTCTTATGGTAGGAAAATATGCCTTAACAAGAGCCATAATAGGATTATTATGGCTCTTGGCCTTAATATGTGCCATGGAAATTCAGAAAATTCATATGGTTGTTCATATCTTCTCAGGATTTGCTTTATTTAGGGAAAGTGAGTGTATCGGGGCGGAGTTGAATCCCTCTGCAAGTTGTTGACCGCTAACAAGGTGCCTTCTGATTTACCAACAAACGGATGCAAATCAAAATACTGTCCATCTTAAAACTGGTTTCATTTGAAAGTTTAGCCGGAAATGACTTCTCTGAACGGGGTACGCAAACGGAGGCCCACTGCGAAAGAAACCTCAATCGCCAACTGTGAAGTATTAGACGAAAAATATCGCATCACTGTTCAAGGAATTTTCAGTGTTAACAGACTGGTTGTTTGCCTTCGCTTTTTGTAAAAAATAAACCAGGAAAACTTGTGTCCTCGTTCGTTCGCTGTTTGCTTTTGTTTTTAAAGATTTATGTACTGAAAAAACAACGGAAAAATAGAAATTTCAGTATTTTAAATTCGAGCGCCTAGCCAAAATAATAAAACTAGTAGAACATCGTGTCGCCGTCTTTTCGAAAACTTTTTACCTTCTACGTCAACAGAAATAACCTCTGGCACCCAGGGTATCTGTCCTTATGCCCTGCTCTTATTTTCAGTCTCGCCTTGACTAAGTTGACCCGGCTGAGGCGCTGGCGAGCAAGGGTATGGCGAAAAGTTGGCCCGGCTAGGAGACCTAGGAGGCTAATGACGCTACCATCACAACAGGGTGACCCGCCTAGCCCAACTTTTTGTTTCTCACGTGAACGGCTCGTCAGGTTTCTTAAGGAAATGTAAGAAAGGTTGACTCGCCCAGAGTAGCCCGGGTAGGCGGGTGACCTTTCCGCCCGGTGTGTGGGTGTCAAGCAATCTTACTTCGGAGAAATAAGTGACTGAACAGCGTGCGAAAGCCAACAAACTCCTCGGCTTTGTGCGCCGAGCTTCTAGGTACATCCAAAGCACCCAAACACGTCGTACACTTTATCTCTCTATCGTCCGGCTACGCAACCCAGGAATGGTCGCCACAGTCCATTGGCTTCCTAAAGAGCGTTGAAAACTTGCAGCGCGCCTAATAATATTTATGTATTCATGTATAAAGATTGTATTCTAGTTAGGTGAAGCTAAATAAATACTTTTGTAAATAAACAAATAAGAGAACTTTCCTCCATATAAACGGAACCTTGATGTACAATCTAACACTTTATGTACCTTATGTGTGAATATTCATTTTTGTTCTCTTGTTTTTCCCCGCTCGAGCAAGAGGTCGCTGAGCTTCAACGTTTCCTTGAAGTTTCGGAGCAAAGAACGAGGAACTAGAGTCAAAAACCGCGTGAAAAATGGCGCCACTAACAGGGCGGGGACCGGTGAGGAAGAAAGGAAGGAAACAGCTTTTGCTTCCTTCCCTTCCCCTCCTTCATTTTTTCGCTCTCGTTCCATTTTTCGCGCGGCCAAAACCGGAAATCTCGTTCTTCGGTCTTCCTTTGCTCCGAAACCAGGAAACGCTTGCTACACAGGCTACAAGGTCAGCTGTTTTCTTAGGCTATGAAGGGCCAAGATCAAGGGTGAGAGTGGGGGTAAAGATAAGGGTAAGACTAGGGGTGAGGGTGAGAATAAGGGTTAGAGAAAGAAGAAAAGCTAAAGGAAAAATAAGGAAGAATGGCTGGTCTGATTTCAACATTGTTTCTGTTCGTCTGAGCTGCCGACAGCTTGGCTTCCCAGGCCTTCTCGATCAATGCATTTCGGTGACGTATCTGAAATGAACTCATAATCTCGCTTGGAACACATGACCCGATTCATGACCCGAAACGCATTCGTAATTTTTTGTCGGAAGTTTCATCATTACAAGTGAAAGCCCTCTAATTATTCAAGGTATTGTCTCCAAGTTTCATTTTTACGTGAACAGCAGTAACTAACAAAGCATTTAAAATATTCAATAATGCTAGCTATTGTTGTGCACGAAAACATGAAACTTGGAGGCAATACTTTGAATAATGAGAGGCTCTCCCTTGTAAACACAAAATTTCCGACAAAATATTAGCGAATTGTAGCCCTTATTTTACTGCCTTACAATCTATCAATAATCTTGAAACTAAGAGGTCATATAAAAGGAAGGTTAATCTCAAGAATCTTAAATTTTTTAAAAAATCTATCAAGCGGTTTAAAAATTATTTGCTAATTTGCTAAAGTAGACCAAAATGTTTACAAACCGCTAACAAGAGTGCCTGGATACATACTAATCAAATCCTTCTTTCTAGCAATCGGCTGGAGCTATCTCCATGATCTTTCACACACGTTTTTAAAAAGATTGAACCTACTATGAGGCGAAATTGCATGTCAAAAGCGCTTCGTTTTCTACAGAAAAAAGCCGAACATCAAGATTGTCCATTTTTTACCGTATTTCTAACCATACGAACAATATAACGCTCTTACAGATTTCGCTTAAACTTCACGAACATAGAGACGGCTATTCGAGGAAAAAGCTATCGTAAACGAGTTTGGAAGAACAGTTCCCATTGCCAAGGTATACTACTGTGAGTAAAATAGGTAACAGCGTCATTTCGTTGCTACGACAACTCCGATGTCATTGCAACCCTGATCATAACAAATTATCATCTTTATTTAATACAACTGTGGTGGCAATTTTTCCAAATGTTTGTCTATGGCGACGTAGTTTATGCTCAAACTTGGGAGGTATTGACCCTGAAAAACTGCATCGAGCCACCTTCAAACTACGGTACACATAAATTTTATCATTGTTGGTCTGTTTAATTTGGTATTCATCTTCTATCACATGCTGACATTTATTCGTTATATCGAGGTAAATGTTACGTTTGCGCTTGTGGATTGTATTCCTTATAATGAGGATTTCATTAAATCGAGGTTCTGTTCCATACATTTTACTGTAATTTTGGCCGGGCTGAAGAAAATCGTTCATCATAGCGAGGCCTTCGTTATATAGAGGTTTGTTAATTCGAGGTTCCACCGTATGTGAACAGGGCACGATTTTGTCAATAGAAAGGGCACCATTTCTGTCAAAAATGGTATATAAAACGCTAAAGGGTTGGACCTCGGGTCGGAGCCTCCCTATAAAAAACTTTATTGAATAGCCCCGCCCCCAGGACCTAAAACAGTTGACTTGTCCATGTTCCGTCAGCATTAACCTTATAATTGTCTTTCGTGTAATCCATCAGGTGATACTTCTTTTTCTCAAGCACGTATTTAAAAAGGTTGTCGTAAAGTGGACTCAGTCGATCAACTCCAGCCAGCTGTGCAATGACACCGTTATAATCTCCCCTTGTTCCAAAACCATGAGCATGGTGTTCAGGCATACCAAGAGAGAGTCTCTCCTGAAAATCTTGTTCTTCATCAGTATTCATCTGATCTTCAGATGGCAAGCTCTTTCGTCCACTTAACACTGATGCAATGTATTGAGCTTGAAGACTAAAACGTGGAAATCCACAGAAAAGGGAGCACACTCCGATGAAAGACAGTGTTGGGTGTTTTGTATTAAAAATGTGTTTGTATAAATGAGTCACCCGATTGTTCCTGACCTGAATACTACAGTCATCATGCAGGAATGGAAAAGAAAAAATGTAACCAGTGCACAATAAGATGCAGTCAACTTTCCTCTCTTGTCCATCCTCAAACAGGACTGTTCCATCCGCGCAAACAGACATTATCGGCATTTGTTGTTCCACATTTTCTGGAAGTTTAGAGCAAAGTCTTCTTTTATGGCTGAGGTAAACTTTTTCTGCGCAGTTTGCTACGTTGAGACAAATATCTACACCAGAAGGCCCAGCACCCAAAATAACCAGATGTTTTCCTGTAAATACTTCAGGATGTCGATAATCATGACTGTGCATAACAACTCCAGGGAAAGACTCCAGACCAGGAATTGCTGGCAAACGAGGAATAGAATAATGTCTGTAGACAAAATGATTAAAATGAAATTTTAAGTATTTTTGATAAAAGCTAGCCTGAATTTCATCCGATTACTTCCAGTCGTTATTACTCCCTTAGTAACGTCGTTGTAGACTTGCTACAAGTCGACGTCTTGGCGAGCGGAGCGAGCCTTTTTTGGCCGCAAAGCGGCCGACCGCGAGCGACGAAGTCGCCATTTGAAATCCGACGAAGGACTTTTTTGAAAGTCTAACTTCGTTGCTGAGAGGTGAAAACGACTCGAAGTAATCGGATGAAATTCGGTGAAATTCAGGCTATAATCAGAGCCATAGCTAGGGTGGGGGGGGGGGGGGGGGGGAAGGAGGGCAGCTGCCCTCCCTGGACCTATTGAGCCAGACAAACTAAGTCTGTGGATGGATTTGTTTTCTTTAGACTCAGTTATTTTGATTATAGTGACTTGCAATTGTTTGCCATTTTCATATTGAAGGTCGATTTTTCGCAGACATATCTCATGACAAGTGCTGAAAATAGCGATTAGGAGCCTCCAAATTTGAAAATCTTCCTGGGGGAGGATACCCCCAGACCCACCTACAATGCACTCGCCTTCATTCAGCACTGGGGATAATGCACCCCCCCCCTTACCACCACCTTACCCCACCCGTTACAATAAACCTAGCTACGGCCCTGATAATACGGACAGAAAGGGAAGGGAAGAGGCCATAGTGTCCGTATTATCCAGTGTCCAGATTAAGCAGAATGTCAGAAAAAAAGGCAGAAATACATGTTATATATAAAGACTAGAGCAGACATTTTTTACACAAAAACATTGGGTTTGTCCAACTGTAACTTAAGGAACTTCAGTCAGTGAGTCTCAAACTAAAATTACCTTTTAAGTACAGCTCTTAACTGAAACACGACAATGGAATCCATGACTTTATTTAGCATGGACAGGTCAGTGGCAAATCCAGACCTTCAGATGGAAGGGGGGCGGGGCTGGTCACCTGGACCCTGAGATAAGGGGGTGGAAGGGGGGGCCTGGTCTCTGGAAGGGGGCGCCTTCAGATCTCAGTTTGGTCTAAAAATAAGGGGAAGGCCCGAGGCAGTTCACTCCTATGGATCCGCCACTGCAGGTTAAGGTGGACTGAGTATTTGACAGAACTTTTGAAAGGTCATTCGGCATTGCTGCAGTTATAGGTTTTCACTAGTAAGATATTCAGTCATAGACAGTGCTCAAAAGTGTCTGTAATGCAGAGTTGATGCTATATGGCAGTCTGCGACTGGACACAGGAAAATGTCTGCTGTCCAAATTAACTGGTGTATGCATTAAGTGTGTTACTTTTAGAGAACATTAATTTGAACTTTTGGTTCTGACATATGAAACTGTCCATTATTATTTGTCTACAGGTGTCTGCATGTAGTAAGTGGTGATGGTGGTGGTGGGGGGGGGGGGGGTAGTGAAGTGAGGGGTATACAAACAGCCAAATTTCACTGTATTCTTTTACTCTTAAAATAAAAACAAACATTAAATTACAGAATCTTTTTTAAAAGGTGGGGATGTGTCTGCACAACAAGGATATAAGATTGCTGACTAGAAGTAGATACATTAAAATTATGCAGCTTATCCATTGCAAACAATAACAGCATTAAACAATAAAACTTGAGATTCTTTTGTATCAGCATCTGTAACAACAACTTCCCACAGAGGCTGGTGACTGTCTTCACATATCAGTGGACAGACACTGTTTACGATAGAATTAAACTGAATGTATTTGTACAAGTCAAAATGACTGATATAATCTTCTAAGTATTTGAGAACTTGTTGATGACTCAAGTATGAGCTCCACTCAGAGGGAAATGGAAAATCAGGGAAAGCCATAACTTCTTTGGGCAGATTGGTTCTGAAAAGAAGATCAAAATTAGAAATACTGTCAGTGAAATTTATTAACATGTTTTCAGGTGGTCAGGGGAATTATAAATTAATATAAAATATTGATCATTCAACAATTTTATGATGATGAATAATAATTATTTATCATCATAAATAATTGATAATTAATCTGAGAACAGTTTTTAAAATTCAGAGAAAACACAATTATAACTATATGAAATTTTGATATTTCATGTTTAAAGACCATGACAAGAATTAAAACTATCTCCCATTATGATCAGAAGACCTCTGTTTTTGAATGTCAACACCACCAGGCTAGCAATATTATACACTGAGTTATAATAGCTGCAACAAATTTGCAGTGCACCTTCTTGCACAAATTATACTATTTGAGATGTCGAGACTTCCTTAAGATAGTCACAGGGCACTTGGACACGAAACACAACTGGAGCAAAAAATGGGATCAAACAACAGGGACAACAAAGAAAGCAACATTTGTTCTGTTCTGAGGATCAAAGGGTGCATTCCTTTGGGATGATCCGCATCAGGATCAGAGATCACTCGGATCGTGGTAGATCAAATGAACCGATGAATCCACTCTGGACAAGGATTCATCGGTTCAGTTTATCTATCATTATCTGAGTGATCTCAGATCACAGATCCTGACCTGGATCATCCCAAAGGAAAGCACCCAAAGTGTACACTGAAGTCTGACTTAGTCAGTAAAAAGCAACAGCTACAGAAAGAAGATGATCCTGTGTGGGAATATAACTCTAAATGAAGATCTGACCATCACAGCAATATTGTAATTGCAATTTAAGGAATATTGTTTATCATTACAAACAATTCTTTACAATGCGACCACTCATGGAAAAGGAGTACTCGAAAAAAGATTATCCAATCACAACAATTTTTGAAAACAAAAGATTCTCAAGTCTTTTTTTTTTTTTTTTTGCAAACAGAGCAATAAAATTCAAGATTCAACTGTGCAACCATTGAAAACTCAAAAACTGTTCGCACTTACCTCAACTCTCAGGAAACAGCACTCAAATTTATGAATGTTTTGGTCCGAGAATAATCTTGAGAATCTTTTGTTTTCAAAAAACGTTTTGCTTGGATAATCTTGTTTCAAGTGCCCCAGTTAAGGTTTGAGTACCGGTAGTTGCACTGTAAGCAACTCAGGCAAACTTAACAAATGCTGTCGCTTGTGTCAGTTACAAACAAAGAATTAATGCCTGGATAAACCATGCAAACAAGGATGCCCGTACGAAACGAGCAGCGCTGCTGCAGCGCTGCAGAATGGCTTCAAGAAGCGCTACAAAAGAGCTGTAAAAGCGCTGGGCTGCAGCAGCTGCAAATTTTGGCTGCAGTGGAAAGCCCTTTGACAGCGATAAACAGCGCTTTTGCAGCGGTGCAGGAAATTCCCGAATCACGATCTGCGCTGCAAAGAGGCTGCAAAGTGGCTTCGAAAAGACAAAGAATGTTGTTACCGGTAATGGCCTACCACTCGTTAGTACAAAATAAAGAAATGCAGGCTCCAATAATGCAATAATCATGATACATGGTAGAGGAGTTGACAAGGCCTTAGTAGCAGAGTAAAAACCACTAGAAAGTCAAAATGCAACTTATTATTTGCGCGTGGCCCAGATAGAGTAATGGAAACGGCTTGTTTTGACGCAAATGTGCAATAGGCACGCAATACGTGCTAACGTAAACAAGGCAAGTAAACAAGCGAAGCGAGGCGAATGTCCGCCATGCGAACGTCTTGTACTAGGATCTACAAGGTAACAGCCATGTGGGAAAGAAAGCTCTGCTAGCACACTGCACTTTATCGCACTTTCACGATCTCAAAAGTTAATCTGAATCTTCAGTATTTTTGCCTCATCGAAATTTGGAAATCTGAAGTCCAGGAATGAAATCTATCAAAAATATTTGGAATATTAACGTCGGGTTTTGGTCACAATAAGATCACAAGCAACGAACCTTGAAACACAGAAACTCACAAAACGGATCGAAATCCACCAATCACAAATCACAAACAATGACCTTTTGAACCCGTTGAAGAAAACTTTCGTTTCCTAAGAGGTCCGCTAAGATGATAGGCATCTGACATTTTTTGACGAGAGGATCGAAATGAGAAAGGATCATCGAGAATAGCGGGGGCGAAATGCTAAACCAATCAGAGAAAAGTAAAGAAAGTCTTACCAGACCAGTTCCAAACAGTTTTAATTGCGTGATTTGCCAGAAAAGCATCAAGGTCATTTGAATTTTTTGGTTTGATTTCCTTATTTTGAGAGGTCATTTGAATTGGCTGATTTCTTTATTTTAGGGGCCAACCATTTAACTCTTGGGTGGGGGGGGTGATTTTGAAAAAAAATTTCCTGCAAGCGCTTGTCGGAAGAAAAAAATTGCATGCAGCACAAATGTAGTAGAAAGCTTAAGGGAAAAAAGGGAAAAATATCCTGCCCATCAGATTGCTAGAAAAAAAAATCTTGATGACCAGAAATCACCCACCCCCCTCAAGAGTTAAATGGTCGGCCCCTTATGTCCATTTTCTTTTTCTTATTTTGTGATTGGTCGATTTTGTTAGGTCTAGTGGATAATCCAATGAGGGACGATTTGGAAATCGTTAGATCAGAAATTTTTCGAAGCAGCAGTAAGAGGCAGTTTGGATAACATTTGGTCGCGGCGTTTCGAGGAACGTGTCAATATATTGTTCAATCATTTTATCCCGGGTTAAACTTACAAATGCACAGACTGTTCGCGGTAAGCTCACACTAAAAATAACTCTGAGTGTTTTCGGAGTGGGCTGGTCCGCGAACTCAAAGAAAAACAAAGGAAATTATCAAGACATTCAATGACATCAAAGACTCGTGGACCCCATAGACGCAAAGACAAATCGGAATATCAGGAGTGTACGTGTAAAATGGATAAGAGTTTGAACAGAGGAATGTTAGACTAATGTTTAACAAGAGGACATGTTGGCTGGAAATATTTATGACTTTGTTTTGGTTGCTCGGGTAATGTTTGTTTGCATTCTAAACCGCTACAAAAAGTAAAAAGCTAAGATTTTGCCATCAATATGATTTTTCAGAATTTTGCTGCCATTTATTTTATTTTCTTATGACAAAGGTACTTGAGATTCATACTACTCTGTTTAAGTACATGCACATGTATCATCAGAAAACGTTCTTGCCAAAATAGCTGCACTTTGTTTGATTCAGGATCAAGTTCATCTTCCCTGAAAAAAGCAAATAAATGAATAAGTGGATGTCGATATTTTATTGCCTTTCTTATTTATTCAATAGTAAAAAAGAAACTATGCTTTATATACATTGTATTCACTCAGCAACAACCTCTTCAAATACATTCTGCAATACAAACCCATTTATTTATTATAGCTTGGTAATAAGTTTGGGGTTAAAATGATAAATAGAATAAAAACCCCTGACTATTACAACCTGCAATTTCCTCCCTTTTATGGTACTTAGCACAAATTTAGGCTATTTAGGTTCTTAAATAGGTTCCTCGACGAAAAAAATACATTGCAGCTAAGAGTATTTAGTGGTGTTCAGCATATTCCTTATATAAAATCCTCACAGTGGAGTGATGAGTTTCCTATGTTTCTAAAGAGGATCCTGAAAGTTGGAACCCACCTTTGGTTTTTGATATGTTACAATATTTCGAAACGATTTTGCCTTCAGTAGAAAGCCTTTGATCTTCTCTAAAAGATGAGGTATATTTTATGGGTGGTGGTGCTGCTGGAGGTCTGTGACGTCACCAAACATGGTCGCTATCTTGGATTTTATTAAGAATTAGAAATAAGGTAAAACGCACTGAGAACTAATAATTGTTTCAGCTTTAAAGAGCGACTGTCTGTAAATATCGACCAAAAATTGGCTTTTTGTGGCACAAGTTCAAAATTCGAATTTCGCTCACTTTTGGCTCATCGATAACTCTTAAAGGGACAGTGTCCCGATTATGCGCACGCGCGAGCGTCATCTGTTTTTTCTTCAAAAGACAATAGAACTGTCAAATTGACTCGACAAGATTTCCTTCCGGACCACACCAGGCACCGACAGAAATTTGTTGTTTATATTCTCAAGTCATATTTTAGACTTTCGAAGAAGTCTTTCGTCTTATATAAAAATTTGGCTCGCGGTTCGAAGACTCGTCGCGATTTTATCGCTAGCTGGGCCGCCTCGCGACCCGAAAATCTCGTTCCGCTCGCTTTAAAAACATATTTTCTAATTTGAAACTCGTGTCAGAGGTCAATCGCTCCAAGTCCAGTAATATCTGCCTGATTTGCTCGCGTTCTAGCCTCAAACGTTTGAAAGACATAAATAAAAATGCAATCTCAACGCTATGAATCATCACAAAGGTTAGTCAAAAAATGATATTATGATTTCATGTCAATAGTTTTCAACACAAACGCCTGTTTGTTTGATTTTGTCGGCCGTAGGGAGATTCATTTAAAAGTTTACTAACGCGTCGTTGCAAAACATTTTCACGAATCTCCCTCCAAAATCTCCTCAGTCACATCAATGTCTCAACGGTTTCTTTCTTACAGTCTTTATTGTTGCTGTTTCATTTCTGCGTATTCCTTTCACAATTATCTGATCTTGTATGGAAGCTAGCAGAAGAAATAAGCCTTCAATCGGCATTAAAGTGCTTCCAATCTTTTGGTCCTCCGGCCAACGGCAATAAAAGTAACGCCAAAAAATCCAGATTTTGCTCAAATCGAAACTTAACAGGAACAATATATCATTGCTCTATAATCCTGAGAAGTTTTAGTGTCGTATTGAACCCGGCCGAGCGCGATGCAAACGGATTTTTCAAGATTCTCTTACTCTCCTCGCATCTTTTGATTTCGCGACATCCTGTCCAAAATTCAAAGTTTGGTGCATGCGCAGTAACGGGATACTGTTCCTTTAAGAGTAATGAAACACATTGTAATTAGTTTTCCCAAATAACGTGTTCTTTTGTTA